TCCTCACTCTGAATTTGACTTTCTCTCCTGAGGCCAGCACTTAGAACATGTGGTTTTTTCACCATAGGTCCATGTTTTAATCAGTTTTTTTCACTGCTGTGACCTGACAAGAACAATTAGACAAGGAAAAGTTTACTGAAGTGCTCATAGTTCCTGAGTCTCCGTCCACAGACAGCAGGCTCCACTCCTCGGGGCTCGAGGGGAGGCAGGACATCATGGAGGAAGAGTGTGGTGGAGGGAAGCAGCTCACATGGTGACCAGGAAGCAGAGAGAGACTCCACTCTCCAGAGACAAATAGAGACCCCAAAGCCACGCCCCCAATGCCCCCTCCTCCAGCCACACCCACCTGCCTCGAGCCACCACCCAGTTAATCCCATCAGGGGTTCATTCACTGGTTGGGTTAAGGCTCTCACCACCCAGTCATGTCTCCTCTGGACCTTTCATTGTCTCACACGTGATCTTTTGGGGGCCACTTCACACCCTAAGCCAGTCCATCTGGCACGTCCCCGCTGTGCTGAGTGGATTGCAGATGGCCCAAAATGCAATGGGACTTTTCAGTACTTGGTTCATGAGGTAGACTGAAGCAAGGGCGCTTGGATAGTTCTCGCAAGAGCTGCAGCCGCACTTTCCTCTGTCATAATTACCCTTCATCTTTTCAGGTTTTCTGCTCTTGGAACGCGTTACAGCAACTCCCAGTTCTGGCCTCGATGCACAAGTGGATTCTATCCATACTAAATACCGCCCACTGGACTTCTGTCTCCAGAGGGTTCGCTCTGTACGCAGCTTGCAGAATCCTGCTTATCTAGAGTTGTACACCTGGCGTCAGTTGCTCTGGGCCAATTATTTTAGTTTGTTCCTGTAAGGTCACCTTCTGGGTTCAGTCTTATCTAGGTTACCCAGAGATCAACTCTGCCCCACGGATTAATTCTCAGGCTCACTGTGTTTAAGAGCCGCTAGGTAAGATTTTCCATTTACTCCTGCAGTTGGCAAAGAATGCTAGGAGGTCGAAGTTGAACTTGTGATCTCTGAGGCTAAGATTGTACCTCGGCCATTTTACATCTCCAGAGCCTGGTATGCAGTAACCATGGAGTGAGTTAATGCCTGCATTCAGCAAACCTTGGTTAGAGTCCATGGTGTGTAGTGCAGTAGAAGCTACCAGAGTGCAAGATGGGTGTGGTTCTTGTACCTGTATTCCTCTTGTGGATGGGTGCACAATGAAAAGTCAGCACAGTTTGAAAATAAAGAAAGTCCTGCTAGCCATCAGGATAAAGTGGGTCAGTTATGGTGGAGTCCTACGTTGGATCACCATGTGGCAATGAGTTTGAGCAAACTTGGATGAATCTCATCATGTATGGTGCACAGGTAGCAAGTTGAAAACCAGGCAGAACTAACCTAGGGTGATAGATGTGAGGCTCATAGTCAGCTTCTCAATGAGGCAGTGACTTTGGGGACCTGCAGGTGTTTCTGGGTTCTGGGTGATGTTCTTTATTTTGGTATGAGAGTTTTTTTATTTAACATTTTTTTATTTGTCCTTTTCACATATAATGATAATAGAGTGTATTTTGACATATTATACCTACATGGAGTGTACATTCCCATTCTTGTGGTTGGACATGATGTGGAGTTTCCCTGGTCGTGTGTTCACATATGAACATAGGAAAGTTCTGTCCCATTCATTCTACTGTCTTTCCCATTCCCATCCCTCCCTTCCCTTCATTCCCCTTTGTCTCATCCAATGAACTTCTATTCTTGCCTCCTCACCCCCTTATTGTGCGTTAGGATCTGAGAGAACATTCAGCCTTTGGTTTGGGCGATTGACTTATTTCACATAGCATGGTACTCTCCAGCTCCATCCATTTAACAACAAATGCCATAATTTCATTCTCCCTTATGGCTGCATAATATTCCATTGTGTATATAGACAACATTTTCTTTATCCATTCATCTGTTGAAGGGCACCTAGGTTGGTTCCATAGCTTAGCTATTGTAAATGGAGTTGTGTTGTGGTTTGGATGAGAGGTGTCCCCCAAAAGCTCATATGTGTGAGACAATGCAAAAAGGTCCAGAGGAGACATGACTGGGTTGTGAGAGCCTTAACCCAACCAGTGAATGGACCCCTGATGGGATTAACTGGGTGGTGGCTGGAGGCAGGTGGCAGGAGGAGGGGGTATTGGAGGCGTGGCTTTGGGGGTCTCTATTTGTCTCTGGAGAGTGGAGTCTCTCTCTGCTTCCTGGTCACCATGGGAGCTGCTTCCCTCCACCACACTCTTCCTCCATGATGTCCTGCCTCCCCTCTAGCCCCAAGGAATGGAGCCTGCTGTCCATGGACAGAGGCCTCAGAAACTGTGGGCCCTTAATTAACTTGTCCTCCTCTACAGTTGTTCTGGTTGGCTCTTTAAGCCATAGCAGGAAAAATGATGACTAAAATAAGCTGCTGTAAACGGTAGTGTGGCTGCATCCCTGTAGTACACTCATTTTAAGTCCTCTGGGTATATGCTGAGGCATAAGATAACTCTGTGCCAGTTTTTGTGCTGATTGTTTTCCTGACCCCAGTTAATCATCATGAGCACGCCCCAAGGTCAGTGCTGGCCCATTATACAGGTGAAGCAGTTGAGGTTTTCCCAGCGACACACCCAGAGAGCTGACTGAATGAACTCAATCCTTGTTTACTTGGTGGTGAGAAAGTAGTGGATGTGCATGTGCAGGGGGCAAGAGAGTTCTGCCATTCAAATCCCCACCCTTCACTCCCCTACTGCTGGGAGCTGATACCTTGAGGGAAATGTGAGATGATCTGTATGGATTTGTGTTGTGTGTTCTCTGACCTTGATTGAAATCAATGTTCCTGAAGATTCTTTCTCTTTTCAAAGTTTGATACTCTGTAGTTTCTCCTGTGAAATCCTAAAAAAAAAAAAAAAATTCTTCATATGCTTTTCCCTCTTCATCTGAACTGCAGAATCCCTGAGGAGAAACCCTTATTTGTTTTGATTTCCAGTGCCTGGTCCTGATCAGTGAGATCAGGGGTTGAATATGTTTACCTGAACACCAAAGCATGGGTCCTGGTGCAGGGAGAGGCAAATGGTAGTTGCTTTGCAATTATTTGTGAATAAATGAGCATCATGCACATCTAATGGAAGGTTAAATGGGTAGTGGATTTGTCCTGGGTCGTCAAGCAATCATCATCATTCAAATGATGGTACATGGTTTTATTTCAATTAAGCATTTAATGTTGTATGGAATATTACTTGGCCATAAAAAAGAATGACTTTATGGCATTTGCTGGTAAATGGATGGAACTGGAGATTATCATGCTTAGTGAAATAAGGCTATCCCCCCAAAAATCAAAGGTCGAATGTTTTCTCTAATTTTTGGAAGCTAACACACAATAAGGAAGGGTAGAGAGGAGAAGAATAGAAGTTCAATAGGTTAGACAGAGTGGGATAAAGGGAAGGGAGTGGAATGGGACTGGAATAAATCTGAAACAATTTGCCTGTGAAGATATGTAAATTCACAGTAAATCCCACCATTGTGTACATCCACAAAAATGGGATGCTAATTAGAAAAGGATATATTCTATACCTATAGAATTATATAGAAATGGATTCTACTGTCATGTATAACTAAAAAGAACCAATAAGAAAACAAATAAGTAACATAAAAGAAATTAAGCATTTAAGACAAAAGCAAAATTGATTGCTCTCTCCCGCTCCATTACCCCAACTCACTCCCCAAAATGTTACAGAGCTGGGCCTGACCCTGCTTGGAAGGAATTCTGAGCAAGAAATTCTGTGCCTGGCCTTGCTTTGTTCTGTTCTGTAAGGATTTGTGACTGAAGTCACTGAAGTCATATAATCATGTTAGGGTGGCATTTTTATGAGCAAATGAATTGCTGCCTCACATTGTAGCTCAAATGGTTTCAAGCACATTCAGAAAAACTATGATTTTCTCTTCATCTCCACTTACACCAATATCCCTGGATCAGAGGAGGAAAGCTTCAACAAAGTGAGTTAGAAGTGAGTTCATTGTGCCGGGCATGGTGGCGCAGGCCTGTGATCCCAGCAGCTTGGGAGGCTGAGGCAGCAGGATCGCGAGTTCAAAGCCAGCCTCAGCAACTTAGTGAGGCCCTCAGCAACTCAGTGAGACCCTGTCTCTAAATAAAATACAAAATTGGGCTGGGGATGGGGCTCAGTGGTCGAGTGCCCCTGAGTTCAATCCCTGGTACCTGCTACTCCCCAAAAGAAAGAAGTGAGTTCATTGCATGCTGAAGATCTGCAGCATCCAGTACAGTAGCCAGTAGCCATGGGGCCCTTGAACACTGCCCTGTGGTCACTCTGAACTGAGATGTGTGTAATAAGGGTAAAATATACCTGATTTCCAAAACACAGCGTTAAAAGTGTAAAATGTCTCATAAATTTATATAATGATCACAGGTTAGAAATGGTCATATTTTGGACATATTGGGTTCACTAAAGATATTAAAATTCACTTCAATTCTTTTCTTTCTTTTTTTTTTAGGTGGGGGTGGGGGTGGGGGTGGGGGGTTGGAGCACTTAGGTTGAACCCAGGACTTCATGAGCGTTCTCCTGTTTCTTTTAATATTTTTGAAAGATGGCTTCTAGAAAATTTAGAATTACAAATGTAGCTACCATTGAACAGCAGCACTCCAGGATGGAATGACTGTGAATTTGCCCAACACCCGACCCCCCTCTTTATCTGACCCTGAGTCCATGGTTAGCACCCCATTTCCATCTCACAAATATCCCAGATAGAAGTAACCCCACAAAAGCCCCGTAAAAGGAAGATTTGGGAAAACAAAGGCAATTACTATCGAGTCTGACACATGCATTCTGTGTTACCTTTGCTTCTAAGGCAGTTTATTTAACTGGGATTTGGGTGACGTTTTAGTGGTATCTGTTAATGACTGGCCTCTTTGGTGGAAAGTCACCATTAACTAGCCTTGTCCTGAACAAGCCCTCATTTCTCCTGTTTCTGGTTTCTTGCAGATCAGCAAACAGCAGCTGCAGACCGTCAAGGACCGCTTTCAGGCCTTCCTCAATGGGGAGACACAGATCGTGGCCGACGAAGCCTTCATGAACGCAGTGCAGAGTTACTATGAGGTGAGAATCACCAAGCAAGCAGCCCAAGGCCCAGGCTACCCAGGCCCCAGGTGCAGGAATTCTGAGCTATTGGAGACAAGGAACCAGAGCCTTGGGTTCCTGTGGGGTCATCCCTCCTGAGGCAAAGGGGGTGGTGATTTGTTACAATGTTAAGGAATAATGGCATTTTGCTTTAGGGACCCTGCAAGTACCAACTATTGTGGTTTTGTTGTTATTGTTGTTTTTCTCATGCAGGGGAGATTTACTACTGAGCCACATCCCCAGCCCCCCCTTTTTTTTTTTGGAGAAAGGATCTTGCTAAGTTGCTGAGAATGGCCTCCAACTTGAGATCCTCCTGCCTCAGCCTCCCACATTGTTGGGATTAGGAGTGTGCTGCCATTGTGCTCAGCCAAACTACAATTTTCTAACAGTTTTTTTTGTGCTGAGTGTTTTCAATAGGATTGGTAACATTCATATGAGTTAGATCTTGCTAAATATCTCCATTTTACTGATGAAGAAACTGAGACTCAAAGAAATTAAACCAGTTAGTCAAGGTCATGTAGCTGTTAAAATGTTGTAAACTAAGACTTTGTGACCAGAGCATTTTTCCACCTCTTCAACCATTTCTAATGTAGCTGTGCATGGTGATGCATGCCTGTAACCCCAGTGGCTCGGGACGCTGAGGCAGGAGGATTGCAAGTTCAAGGCCAGCCTCAGCAATTTAGCAAGGCCCTAAGCAATATAATAAGACCTTGTCTCAAAATTTTAAGAAAGTCTTTTTCTAGAATATAACTGGGAAACAAATTTTAAAAATTAAAAAAAAAGCTGGAATATAACTCAGTGGTAACCCCCCCGACTCAATTTGATTCCTAGAACCACAAAAGAAAAAAAAAAAAAGAAAAGAAAAGAAAGAAAGGAAAAAAACCCATAAAACATGAAAAAATTAAAGGGATAATTGTGCCTCCCAAGGATGGTGGCTTAACAATCTCCCTTGTGTTTTTTATTAAAATGCTGCCATGTGTGGGTTCCTTCCTAGAGATTAACATTCTGTCCAAAATGCAGTACTTATCTGAAGAAAAAACACTACAAAGGAGAGAACGTATCTCTCCTGAGTACGTATCTCAGATTTATTTTTACCACTGGGTCTCCAAGGTTTATTTATCAATACAGTGGATCTGCAAAGAAAAAAAAAAATTCAAGTTTTTTGTTTTTGGTACCAGGGATTGAACCCAGGAGTGCTTAACCACTGAGCCCCATCCCCAGCCATTTTTGGTATTTTATTTAGAGACTGGGTCTCATGGAGTTGCTTAGGGCCTCACTAAGTTGCTGAGGCTGGCTTTGAACATGTGATCCTCCTGCCTCAACCTCCTGAGCCACTGGGATTCCAGACGTGTGCTACCGTGCCCAGCTCCACCAGTATTTTTAAGTTTTATAAGTATTCTTTCTCAATGTGGATATTATCTGTCATTTGTCCATCATTAAAGAAATAGGCATGCCATTTGCTGGAAAAATGGATGGAACTCGAGAGCATTATCTTAAGCAAAATAAGCCAAATTCAGAAAGTGAAGGGTTGTATGCTTTCTCTCATATGTGGAAGATAGGGAGGGAAAGGGAGTAGGGGGAAATGGCAGGGGGTGGTGGTCTTATGAAAATAGAGGTGGTCTAGCAGAGTAGAAGAGGAGGAGCAAGAGGAGGGAAAGGGGAGGTCCTGGGAAATGAAATCGACCCATTTTTGTATTGTTGTATTGTGTGCATGCACAAATATATAACAATGCACCCCACCCACTATTATGTAAAATCATAAAGCACCAATTAAAAAATTATAAAGCACCAATTTTTAAAAAAGTTTTTTTTTTTTTAAAAAAAAGAAGCAGACATACCCTCCCTTCCCATTGGCAATGTTTTACTGACATGCATATTTTCAGAAATGACTACGTAGACCTTAAAAGACATTTTACTTTATGTCCTAATCGATGATAATGTGAATCAGATAAATATTATCTGTATTTGGAATGTTATGTCCCAGATTTCTTATCCACCCTCAAGGCTAGGTTAAAACCATTAGATTCTAACTCCTAAACACTAAAAGCTGATGGCACCTTGCCATGTGCAATTCAAAATAAAAATAATTGTGAAACAAGTGTATGAAAATCCAAAACAATCGGATTCTTGCCCCAACAGGATTGCTTCATTAATTTTCTTCTTCCTTCCCTCCCTCCAGCTCTCCTTCCTTCCATTATTAGACAGAAAATTATTTCAGAACAAATATGTTGGAGCTCCTGCCCCTCAAATGCTCTAAGCACACCATCGATCTTCCCATTGGCCAATTCAATCCATAATTGCTTTCAATATGGTAATTGATTGACATCTTAGTTGAGAGATCCTGATTTGGTAAAAATCTCCTTCTTACTGATTGAAGTATTTGATTCCTTCTTTCATGCCAAGAGTGGAGCATGATTGCAGTGAGATCTTATGAAAATATCAACTGGTTTGCTGAGTAGCATTTAACAGTAAACAACCTTTGTTTCTGGATATTTGTTGGTTCCAACCACAGACTCCTTTTACACAATGTTTTCTTGATGGAATTTCTATATGAAGCTGTTTTAGAAGTTGAGGTCATTTTTAGCCAGGTGCAGTGGCGCACGCCATTGATCCCAGCAGCTCAGGAGGCTGAGGCAGGAGGATCTTGAATTCAAAGCCAGCCTCAGCAAAAGCAAGGTGCTAAGCAGCTCAATGAGACCCTGTCTGTAAATAAAATATAAAATAGGGCTGGGGATGTGGCTCAGTGGTTAAGTGCTCCTGAGTTCAATCCCAAAAAAAGAAAAAAGAAAGAAAAAAAAAGTTGAGGTCATTTGTATACTTATGCAAATTTAAATCTTTTTTATTTTTTAACTTTTGCAATTAGCATCCATTATTGTCAGTGAGCATTGGTCTTGCTGTTTATCTGATGTCATGCAATTTTTCAGTTGAATTTCATGGAGAGTAGAAATGGAATTTGGAATCATAGTGATGTATGGCAGGGACTAACTTGAGTATATCTAACTGAAGATAGTGTCTAGAAAATGCCTGGTAATGAAATTAATTTCTCCCTCTTTTTCAAGTTCTGAAAGCCAGTGGGAGAGAAATGTGAGAACACTTGTCAGAACAGACCCTTATCAGTGGTTCCATGTTTAGACTCATTCACTAGAGTTTATAAATTTGTAGATTGCACATCTTAATTAGGAAGCTCATTTGACTAATGACACAAATTAAAAGAAAGTGCCATTTCTGTTAATTAAATTTGAAAATTAATAGTCGTCACCAAGCTAATGAGTCTCCGGGAATTGTCATGATATCTAAAGTGATCCCCATATTTTCTTTTATGGTGTCTGGTTTATTTGAAAGAGCTTCTTTTGGGTCTCGTGAGAATGCAGGCCAACAAGAAATTACTGAATGTTTAATGTTAGGATTTGAGTAACATAGGAGAGAACGTGGGCATTAATGATCTAACTGCTGTCTTCATTAGTACAGCTTTGGAGAGTCTGAGATTCACTTTTCTCGAGAAGTCTGAACCTCTGAAGCAGAGGTCCTCAGTCCAGGGATCAGGATTAATACTTAGGCTGGCCGAGCTTGGATCCATCACCCCTCCCTCTCTCCGTCTCCTATCACTCCTGGGCTGTGGGAAAGCTAGTACCTTCCCCACCCGACTCTGGGGGCTGGTGTATCCCCAGTAAGCCTTTTGGACTAGGATTCTTTGAATTCCAAGTGACAGACACCCACCTCAAATTGGCTTTAGCTTTAGGCTAAAGACATATTTGCTCAAGTAATTGAACAGGCCAGAAGTAGGCCCTGCTTTAGCCACGCAGAGCCAGAGACTCCAGATTGGCCAGTAGGCCAGCAAGATGGGCATCTTCACCCACTTCTTCTTTTTTTTTTTTTTTGGTACCAGGGATTGAACTCAAGGCACTTAACCACTGAGCCACTTCCACAACCCTTTTTAATTTTTTTTTTTTTTTAATTTACAGACAGGGTCTCACTGAGTTGCTTAGTGCCTCGCTTTTGCTGAGGCTGGCTTTGAACTCGGGATCCTCCTGCCTCAGCCTCCCGAGCCACTGGGATTACAGGCTCCATGCCTGGCCCTTCCCCTCTACTTCTCACATGAGTCCACTCACATGTGAACTTCACTCTTGAGCAGGTACTCTCCATGGAGAAGACACTAGACCCTTCCACCAGCTTTGCAATCCCAGGGGTGAAGAGAACACCTCTTTGCTGAGAGTCCCAGCAAAGACCAGGGGAGATTTCCTAGAATAGCCATGGTCAACTGTACCTTCCTGAGTCAATCACAATGGATTGAGGAGAAATAGCCCAGGGGAAAGGCCCGAGATGGTACCACCTCTAGAGCCTGCAGTCAGACTTGGCCTGCTGCAGTCACAGTGACACACCATGGTTTCCGAATAAGAAATTAAGGTGTTTGATGCTGGAAGAGGGTGAATATAATGCTCTGAAGATGCGATCAGCCGACATTCTCCTTCCAAATGGAGTCTTCCTCCTCCCTTCCTCCCTCCCTCTTTCTCTCTCTCTCATTATACACTCCATCTTATTGTACCACGTTTGCATACCAGTTTACCAACATCACTGACAGTTAAATATATATATCAACTTTTCCTTTAAAACTTTTGAGATTATTGTCCTAGGAAAGCGCAGTTTAGGACTTAGAATTGTTCGACCAGGGCAATGATTTATCAACATGCTAAAGCAATCCAGAGCCATTTTTCAGAAATAAAAGCAGTGGGGAGGCATGTTCTTCTCCACAGCTGGGCCCATCCAACTGGGTCTGAACCAGGTTGGCCACCATTAAAGCTAGCTCCTGTGGCCTAGGGCCTGAGCTGGAAGATGAGGCTGAGATTCCCATGTCTCTCAAGAGTATATGGGCTACTTTGTCCTTTCCTGGTGGCCCTGATGGTCTGAGCGGATTATGCAGAGCAGCAGAATAAGCCTTTAAGCTCTTTGTTTATGGCGTGAGGGCGGAGGGCTGGAGTGCA